AAACCCCGCACCGGATCGACCCCTCAAGGCTGGTCTGACTGCCTGGAGGACCCGCAGGCGCAGTGCCAAGGGGCGGTGGCCGGGTCCGGCGCCCTGACCCCACGCGCTCGTGGATGGGCGGGAGCCGGCTGTCTGCAGCCGGAGGAACGAACGGCGGGCAGAGCTGATGCCTCTGGAGGAGACGGCCCGTGACCTTGGGCTGTGGAGCCGGAGTGCGGGGGATGCAGGTGCTGGGCGCGCCTCCCAGGGAAGCCCCAGTCCGAGCGCGGCCCGTGCGGACCCCCGAGTTACGACCCAGAGTAGCGATCCCACGGCGACGCTGGCCAAAGTGAACCGCGCACTAACTGGCGCTGAGACAGCACTCGGTTGCCGGGAGCTGGGTGTGCCCGTGGGAGGGCGCCCTTCCCTGGGACCCCGACAGGCCGAGAGCCCCTGTGCTAGTGGGAGGGACCCAGCAAGGGCTCTGAAGGCGGGGCGGGCACAGAGCGGTCCACCCAGGGACACGCTTCTGTCATCTTTCACAAAAGGTGGGGGACACACGGGGCTGTCCCCCCACCTGTCTTGTATTGAGCTGTTTGCACAAGGTTACAGAATTACCATCTCTGAGAGGTGGCAGGTGATCGGAGTTCCAAAGAAACTGGAATGTGATCGCCCTGTGAAAGGCGACCTCAGAGAGGACAGCCTGTCGGTGTGACCCTGATGGCATCACCTTGTCAAGGCCCCTCGGGACTCCGGGGACTCCGAGGTTCACCCACGGGCAACCCGGGGTCTCGGGAAGAACCTACAGGAACCCGTGTGGCAGAAGCGACAGGCCGCCCCACACTGAAGGGCTGCCCTGGCCCTTTCCCGCCCGCGGAGAAGCCCCATGCGAGTCACGTGAGCAGAGGGGGGCCCAGCAGCCGCCGGGAGCCCTGCCCCGGACCTGGGCCCCGGAGTGCGATGCTGAAGGTGCCAGAAGCCAACAACCGACGGCCTCAGACCGGCGGCGCGGGTCTGGTCCTGCGGCTGCAGACGGCACCCACCCCGCCTGCCCGGCCGTGCGCGGCACAGGCGGCGGAAGCAGCCGTCTTCTGCCACCTGTGCGGGACGCCGGCCACTCGGCCACTCGTCTCGTCCTCGTGGCCCCGCCCCACGGACGGGTGGTCCCTTTTTTCCTGCAAGGTCCGTCACCTTCACCGAAATGCTCCCCCCGCGAGAGTCACTAGGGAAAACTAAGTTTTCACAAAAAACAACTTGAAACCAGTTTTAAGTCGCGGGTGTCTGGTCCCCTGCAGAGCAGTCTCCAAGGTTTCTTTGCTGTGGATTCTCGTAATTTCCCATGTTACACTCTCAGATAACACCCCCCTCCCCATGCAGAGTACGGGGAGGAATACACTGCTTTTCAGACAAATCCTGGTGAAAGAACAGACCACCCAGAAAAAGAAGCCCCGCCCCATCCGACTGGGCGGGGCCAGTCTGGCGCCACGCACAGGAAATCCCTGCGCTTCAGCTTCACTCTGAGAGGCAGAGCGCAGGGGCTGCTGGGGGCTAGGACCTGGCACCTGACCAAACCTCCCTCGCCCGCACCTGCCCGCCTCGCAGGACTGGGGCTGTTTCTAGATTCAGAAACATGCATTTCTATGCTGTCGCGCGACCTACTTAAACATGACAGAAAGCGCCCCTATTCCATTTTCGGGTGGAAAAACAAAACACAACATGCAGATAATCCAAATGGAAAAAATCAGTGTGCTGTAATGACATTTGTTTTGCAACATCGGAAGCAGCAGATACTGAATATAATTTGCTTAAATCATAAATACTGAGACTGAAATGTGTGCGCGTCAGCCACACGCAGGCCCACGACGCGGCAGCGGCCCGCGCGCGCCTGTGCAAAGGGCAGACCCGCCGCCGCCGGGGCCTCAGTACTCCCACTCGTCGGACTTGAGGTCCAGGTAGCTGAGGATGCTCTGCGCCAGCTTCACGGCCTGCTTGCGGGCGGCCTTGCACCTCTCCTCGCCCTGCGGGTCCACGGCGTCCAGGGCCAGCAGCTGCTTGGTGAGCAGCTCCTCCAGCCGGATGTAGTTCTTATCGGTTCGGTTCCCGTCGAACGACAGCACCTCCCCCAGGATCTCGGACAGGTGGCCCAGGATGTCCCAGACGGCCCTGTGGGACGGGTGCTCCTCGCCCGCGAACGCCTTCCTCTTCTCCAGGGCCTCCTTCAGGTCCACGTGCGTGATGAGGGTCTGCACTGCGATCACCGCCCTCCTCCTGGCCTCGCGGATGCAGGGGTTCCGCTCCAGGCTCACCTGGTCCAGCTGGCCGATGAGGCCCTGCAGCTCCGTCTTGGAGCTCAGGTACAGCTCGGGGGGGCTCGGGGCTTGCAGCAGCTCGTCCTTGATCTCCCGCATCCTCGTGAGGACCTTTTCGATCTCCATGATGGAGTGGTTCTGCCCCAGGTCGAAGGCGCGGGCGGCGTCGGCCTCCTCCTCCAGGTCCAGGTACTTCAGCAGCTTGTTGATGTCCTCCACGACCTCCCTGCGGTAGTTCCGCACGTCCGTGCGCCCGCACACATCCAGGGCGTCCAGGTCCGCCATCAGCCCCGAGAGCACGCACGACAGGTGCTTGAACGTCTCGTCGCCGCTCACGCCCACGAGCAGTGAGATCAGGGCGCCCCTGGCCTTGTTCACCTCGCACATGACCGCGTTGATCCTGGCCACCGAAGGGTGCGCGTCCTCGGGCAGCGGCAGGGACGGCTGCCTCCGCGTGCACTCCTCGATGATCTCCTGCACCGCGCAGATCCTGGCGAGGGTGTGGTACCGCGCTTTCCGCAGAGAGATCTTCCCGCCCGTCTTCACGTGCGTCAGCCGCAGGATGATGTCCTGGATGCCCTCCTCGAACTCCTCGGCCTCGCAGGGGCCGCCGCTGTAGAAGGGGACCACCTTCTCCGCCACCAGGGACTGGGCCTCCTGGAAGATGTTCTGAATCTCCATCCGGTGCGGGTGGCTGGCGTTCTGTTCCAGCTCCTTGAGGAGCCGCTCGGTCTCTTGAGCCGCCCTCTTCCTGGCCTGCTGGACGTCCCCTCTCCCTTCCGTGTCGACAGAGTCTATCTCAAAGAGCTGTTTCATCAGCATCCTCTCCAGGTTCTTGTAACTCTTGTCGTTTGGCAGGCCGCTGAAGCCCACGACTTGCTGTTCCAAACTTTTCACTTCCTTCTGGATTTCCTGCAGCCTGCGGATGGAAGGGTGTTGGTTTCCCATGTCCATGCTTCGGCTGGGCTCCGTTTCACAAGCACTGAAAGAGGACCAGAGCGACAACTCATTACAGGACAGTCTCTGCAGAATAGCAGCCCCGAATTGATTAGTGGATTCTGAAATGCTCGTTTTGAAAAGCTATGTTCAAAAGGCCGGTCACTAGTGCAGTCCAGGGAACAGCCAGCAGGAAGGAGGGACTCACCAACTTCCGCTCCTGAGAACAACCCACACAGCCCGGCACCGCAGACAGGACGGGGCGACTGCTGTCCTCGAGCTACAGCTCTGGGCCTGGGGCGCTAGTCCCTCCAGCAGCCACGGGGGCAGCAGGGCGCTCTCGCTGCGTGGGGCCCGAACTCGCCCAACCTCTCAGCCCGGAACGCGGAACGCGCAGGCATCTCAGTCTAACACTGGATACAGCAGGCCCGCACCGGCAGGGCCGGTTTGTGGAATGTGAACCAGCCGCTCCGCGGCCTTCGGGGCTGACCAGCCTATCTCCGCTTCCATCTGGCCAAAAGCTATCTATGTCCGAGTTTCCGGAAAAAGTAATTCTAAGAGAAACAAACACCCGCAGAGGTTCCCAGACACCCCTGAAGGGGCCGCTTCCAGGGTCCTCTGTTCTCCCCACCCTTCCAGCACCTCACAGACCTTCCCTGCGGGATGTGAAGTTCCACAGGCAGGGAAGGGCGCGGGGTTACGCCAAGAGCACCGTCCTGGGCTTTGGAAGCCTCGCACCTCCCCTCCCCCAGAAAATGTGACAACTGCGAATAACGCGCTCACTAGCTTCCCGTCATGCTCCTGGGTTTCTGGGAAACAGCTCACTGGAGAAGAACGGATAATCGATGGAAACCACTCCCTCGCGGGTGACCGAGCCACGAGCACGCCTCTGGAGGCCACGAAGGGCAGGCTGCCCGCCTTCTTTTCTCCGCGTTCCGCTTGCCGCCGGGCACTTTACCCAGAAAAGAGCTAAGCTGGTTTGGTCTTGGCTTCCCGTAGGTGAGTGGCGAGGTGGAAGATCAGCCCTTTACGGGGTGCGGCACCGGCCCTGGGCCCCAGGCTGCATCCCTCTCGCCCCTCCCGGCTAGGTCTGAACCGGGCAGCGGGTGAAGGGGCCGGCGGTGGCGGTGGCAGCTACTAGCCGCGGCCGGCTGCTCCGGGCGTGTCGCCCGGGCCCCCCGACGCGCCCGCCAGCCTGACCTCACAATGGCCCGCGGGGGAGGGGCGGCTGCGCTCCGCCCGGCCGGGGGAGCCGGCGGGAGGAGAAGATGCCGGTCCGGCTAGGAGACCCGGCCTCGCTCGGCCCGCGTCTGATCGAGAGGCCCCGGCTGCACCGAGCCCCGCGAGCGCCGGGCAGGGGCGGTCCTCGGGGTCCGCGCCTGGGTGGGGGGCGCACCGCCCCCCGAAGGAGAAAACTCGCGAAGCCCGCGCGCCGCGCTCACCTGGGCCGCCTGCGCCATCGCGCGCGCCTGCGCCTTCGCGCGCCCCGCCGCCGGCGCCGTGAGAGTCCGCGGCTCCCGCAGTCGCCGGCCCGGCAGCCCCGCCCCGGGGCGAACGCCCGCGACCCTGGGAAAACGTCCTCCGCCGTCGGGTCGCGCTCCGCACCGAGTCCGCCGCTACTTGTCGTGCCCAGCAGCCCAGAGTGGCCGCGGCCAAGGAGCGGCTGCCGGAGCCGCCCACGCCGTCCCGCCGCCCCCGCAGCCCATCCCACGCTGGGAATGCGCACAGTCGGCCCGCTGTTCCCCGCCCTCTGGCTTTGCGACCTGCCGTAAGGCAGCCCGCCGCGCTGTCGCGACTGCGCAGTGGGAGCCGGGGGACGCGGGCCATGGCAGCCTGGCGGACCCTGGGCAAAAGCCGTCGCGCTCCTCTGAGCCGCGCCTTCTCCGACTGCGGCTGTCGGCTCGCCCCCGAGCGCGGCGCCGAGTGCAGGGATGCGGCGCCCGGCCGGGTAAGTGGGGTTCCCGGAGGGGTTGGGCCGGGAGGGGTGCCCGCTCAGGCGGCCCCTGGGACACCTGTGCCTCCGGAACGCGACGCGCCCCGCTGCTGCGGCCGCTGCGCCCCCGGGTCCGCCCCTTGGGCCGGGGAGCGGGGCCGCCGCGCCCGTGCGGGTGACGGGCTTGCTGCTGTCGCAGGCCAGCTGGCGGTTGGTACGTGCCTCGTTCCTCCTCGAGGGAAACTGTTCCTTAATGAACTCTTAAGGCGCACAGCGTGTGTTTTTTGTTTGTTTTTGTCTGTGTTTTGATTTCGTTAAGATTTTTAGTGCCAAGAAAACGTTGGTGCTTTTCTTTCTTTTCTTTTTTGATTTTTTAAAATTTTATTTTAATCATTGTTCAAGTAGTTTTCTCCCTTTTACTCCCACTCCAGCCCCCCTCCCACCCCTCCCCACCTTCCTTGCATTTCCACCCTCCCTTTAGTTTATGACCTTGTGTCCTTTAAGTTTGTTCCCGTGAACCCTTCCCCTTTTCCCCTGAAATTCCCTCCCCTCTCCCCTCTGGTCACTGTCAGCCTGTCCTCTATTTCAGTGTCTTTGGTTATATTTTGCTTGTTCGTTTGTCTTGTTGTTTAGGTTCCTGTTAAAGGTGAGAGCATATGGTATTTGTCTTTCACTGTCTGGCTTGTTTCACTTAGCATAATGTTTTCCAGCTCCATCCACGCTGTTGCAAAAGGTAGGAGGTTCTTTCTTTCTTTCTGCTGCATAGAATTCCATTGTGTAAATGTACCATAGTTTTTTGGTCCATTCATTTACTGATGGGCATCTTGGTTGCTTCCAGCATCTAGCTATTGTAAATTGTGCTGCTATGAACATCAGGGTGTATAGGGTCTTTTGGATTGGTGTTTCAGGGTTCTTAGGATAGAGTCCCAGCAGTGGAATTGCAGGGTCAAAAGGCAGTTTCATTTTTAGTTTTCTGAGGAAGTTCCATACTGCTTTCCATAGTGGTTGTACCAGTCTGCAGTCCCACCAGCAGTGCACTAGGGTCCCCTTTTCTCCAAAACCCCTCCAACACTTGTTGTTTGTTGCTTTGTTTATGACGGCCATTCTGACTGGTGTGAAGTGGTATCTCATTGTGGTTTTAATTTGCATCTCTCTGATAGCTAGCGATATTGAACATCGTTTCATGTGTCTTTGGATCCTCTGTATGTCCTCCTTGGAGAAGTGTCTGTTCAAGTCCTTTGCCCACTTTTTAATTGGATTCCTTGTCTTCTTAGAGTGCAGTCGTGTAAGTTCTCTATATATTTTGGAGATTAAACCCTTGTCTGAGGTATCATTGGCAAATATGTTTTCCCATACAGTTGGTTCTCTTTTAATTTTGATACTGTTTTCTTTAGCTGTGCAGAAGCTTTTAATTTTGATGAGGTCCCATTTGTTTATTCTTTCATTTATGTCCCTTGCACTGGGGGACATATCAGTAAAAAAGTTTCTGCGTGAAATATCTGAGATTTTCCTACCTACGTTCTTCTCTAGGACTTTAATGGTGTCACGTTTTATATTTAAGTCTTTTATCCACCTTGAATTTATTTTTGTATATGGTGTGAGTTGGTGCTCAAGTTTCATTTTTTTGCACATGGCTGTCCAGTTCTCCCAACACCATTTGTTGAAGAGGCTATTTTTACTCCATTTTATGTCGCTGCCTCCTTTGTCAAATATTAATTGACCATAGAGACTTGGGTTTATTTCTGGGCTCTCTGTTCTGTTCCATTGGTCTATGTGCCTGTTTTTATGCCAGTACCAGGGTGTTTTGATTACAGTGGCCTTGTAATACAGTTTAGTGTCGGGTATTGTGATCCCTCCTACTTTACTCTTCTTTCTGAAGATTGCAGCAGCTATTCGGGGTCGTTTATGATTCCATATAAATTTTTGAAGTGTTTGTTCTATGTTTGTGAAATATGCCATTGGTACTTTAATGGGAATTGCATTGAATGTGTAAATTGCTTTGGGTAGTATGGACATTTTGATGATATTAATTCTTCCAATCCATGAACACGGTATATGTTTCCATTTGTTTGTGTCTTCCTTGATTTCTTTCCTGGGTGTTATATAGTTTTCTGAATACAGGTCTTTTACCTCTTTGGTTAGGTTTATTCCTAGATATTTTATTTTTTCTTTTTGCTATTTCAAATGGAATTTTTTCCTTGATCTCTGCTTCTGCTGTTTCATTGTTGGTGTGCAGAAATGCCTTTGATTTCTGGATATTGACTTCGTATCCCGCTGTTTTGCCAAGTTCATTTATTAGGTCAAGCAGTTTTTTGGTAGAGTCAATAGGATTTTCTTTGTATACTATCATGTCATCTGCAAACAGTGACAGTTTTGTTTCCTCCTTTCCGATTTGGATGCCTTTTATTTCTTTTTCTTGTCTGATTGCTGTGGCTAAAACTTCCAGTACTATATTGAATAGAAGTGGTGAAAGTGGACAACCTTGTCTTGTTCCTGATCATAGTGGGAAAGATTTTAGTTTTTGCCCATTGAGAATGATGTTGGCTGAAGGTCTCTCATATATGGCCTTTATTATGTTGAGGAACGCTCCTTCTATTCCCACTTTGCCGAGTGTTTTTATCATGAATGGGTGCTGTACATTATCAAATGCTTTTTCTGCATCAATTGATATGATCATGTTGTTTTTGTCTTTGCTTTTGTTTATGTGATGTATTACATTTACTGACTTGCGAATATTGAACCATCCTTGCATCCCTGGAATGAATCCCACTTGGTCATGGTGTATGATCTTTTTAATGTATTGTTGGATGCGGTTTGCCAGTATTTTGTTGAGGATTTTAGCGTCAATGTTCATCAGTGATATTGGCCTGAAGTTTTCTTTCTTTGTTGTGTCTTTACCTGGTTTTGTAATTAGGATGATGTTGGCCTCATAAAAAGAGTTTGGGAGACTCCCATCTTTTTGGATTTTTTGGAATAGTCTGTGAAGGATAGGGGTTAGCTCTTCCTTAAATGCTTTGTAGAATTCCCCTGTGAAACCATCTGGTCCCGGGCTTTTGTGTGTTGGGAGTTTTTTTTATTACTGCTTCAACTTCTTTTGTTGTTATTGGTCTGTTCAGGCTTTCTGCTTCTTTTTCATTGAGTTTTGGATGATTATATTTTTCTAGAAATTTGTCCATTTCACCTAGGTTTTCAAATTTCTTGGCATATGGTTCTTTGTAGTAATTTCTTACAATCCTTTGTATTTCTGTGGGATCTGTTGTAATCTCTCCTCTTTCATTTCTGATTGTGTTTATTTGGGTCTTCTGTCTTTTTTTTCTTGATGCTGCTTAAAGGCTTGTTGATTTTGTTTATCTTTTTGAAGAACCAGCTCTTGGATTCATTGATCCTTAGAATTGTGCTTTTAGTCTCTATGTCATTTAATTGTGCTCTGATCTTGGTTATTTCCTTCCTTGTGCTTGCTCTGGGCTGCCTTTGTTGTTGTTCCTAGAGTTCTTGTAGATGTAGAGTTAGGTTGTTTGGAATGTTTCTAACCTTTTTAGGTGGGCCTGTATCGCTATGAACTTCCCTCTCAGGACTGCCTTGGCTGTGTCCCGTAAGTTTTGGGTTGTTGTGAGTTCATTTTCATTTGTTTCCAGAAACCTTTTGATTCCCTAATATCATTCTTGACCCATTCATTGTTTAATAGCATGCTATTTAATCTCCATGATTTTGAGTTTTTGGTTTTTTTCCTTGGAGTTGGTTTCTAGCTTCAGTCCCTTGTGGTCTGAGAAAATGCTTGGTATGATTTCAATTTTCTTGAAATTCTTGAGGCTTGTTTTGTGTCCTATCATGTGGTCTATCTTTGAGAATGTTCCGTGTACATTTGAAAAGAATGTGTATTTAGCTTCTTTTGGATGGAGGGCTCGGTATATATCAGTGAAGTCCATTTCATCAAGGGTATTGTTCAATGCCACAATATCTTTGTTGATATTTTGTTTAGAAGATCTGTCCATTTTTGATAGTGGGGTGTTAAAATCTCCCACTATAATTGTGTTGCTGTCCATATCTTTCTTGAAGTCCTGCCACGCCCTCTTCCAACCATGTTTTTTGACAAGGTCCGAACGTGGAAAGAGGGCATTCAAGGAATCCATCTTCCTGGAAGAGAGCGTGGCATACAAAGGGGGGCGGTAATTTTTCTGGGGATTGCTCTTAATTTCCTTGCTAATATTAATCATGGTCTTTCTTTGTACCCTGATTCCCATAAGAACAGGCCATGAGAAGAAAGAGTCTCGAAGAGAGTCAATGATTGATTTTGAGGGAAATTCTGAAGGGACAACTAGTTCTCCCGAGACTATTGAATCATGCCCAGATTGTTTTAAACAAGGAGTTTATAAACCCGAGTAAAAAATTATCCCTGATTGTTCCCATAAAAGAATTCATAAATCAGTTACAACAGGCTGAGTTATTGGCGGACTTTCCCATGCCTGTTCCTTACCCATAGATACAAAGAGTCTTTCAAGAAAACAAGAAAAAAATTATATAGACCCCTACCCACAGCCCAGGGATACTCCTGGGTAGCATATTGGATTAATGGCTAATTATGGTATCCCCCAAAAGGAGCTAATGGTTTCCAGAGAGTTCCAGATCTCCCATTGCCTTATACAGGAGCATATAATGAGGGTGGCATTAGAATGGTCAATAAGGATGAAATTCAAGTGCTTTATAATAGTCTAAATTTCATGGAAAGGCTAGCTCGAAGCAGACCTCCCTGGTGTTTATTAATTAAGAAATAAAAAGAGTTTATTGTAGCTGAATTTCCTGTTTATCTCTCCTTATATGTTTGTTTTGGAGATTAAAAGGTGGTGGGATTGTCAGATATCTGCATCTCAGGTTTATTAATTCGCATAATTCCAATGAAGTTGTATAAAATAATTTCTTGACCAAAGAATAAAATCCCCTCTAATGAAATAGCCCCTGAGTGTCTAAAAGTTGTTGGAGTAACAGCCCCGCCTTTACCTTGAATAGGAATATATATCAAATAGAATTAGACAGGCAAAGAAATAAGAAAAGCTGGTTAACTATTATAAATTAAGCACGTAGAAACAGTTACCAGGGAGTTAGAGTCCATGGTACATAGAGAAATATTTTAAACAGAAAAGGTAAATAGGTAAGTTAGACATCACAAAGGCCTTATAATAAATTTCCTATAACCTCTATTCAATTTAGCGTATCCTTTTGCCCCCATGACAAATTCTGAGAACTTTAATAAACAATAAGACATTCAAACTCTGTACGTACAGCTATTTCTAATTGTCTGATTTATGGCTCTCCTGGTTAAAATAATCTTTGTTTAATATAACTAAATCTATGGGAATTTTTGTATTTTTCCTGGTTACCTTTGTATTAAATTTTTTTCTGCTTCACCTAATCGCAAATGTCAATCACTGCTAAAAATGAAAGTATAAAAACCTGCTTGCACTCGCAATAAACGGAACAGAGCGTCACCGTTCTCTGAGGCGTGTTGTCGTCTGTCTCCCGTCGCCGACGCCTCACCCACCTTTCAGGAACCCCTGGACCCCGCTGCGGCCGGGCCGCGGCAAAGTCCTCTAATATTTTCTTTATGTATTTGGGTGCTCCTATGTTGGGTGCATATATATTTACAATATTTATGTCTTCTTGATAGATTCTTCCCTTCAGTATTATGAAGTGACCTTCTGGGTCTCTCTTTATGGACCTTTTTTGGAAGTCTATTTTGTCTGATATGAGTATTGCTACCCCTGCTTTTTTTCCTGTCTGTTTGCTTGGAAGATTTGTTTCCAGCCCTTCCCTTTCAGCCTATGCAGGTCTTTTATCCTGAGGTGGGTCTCTTGTAGACAGCAGATACGTGGGTCATTTTTTCTTATCCATTCAGCTATTCTATGTCTTTTGATTGGAGCATTTAATCCATTTACGTTTAAGGTTATTATTGATAGGTACTTATTCATTTTCTTTTATGTATGTGGATTCCTCTCTCTCTCTTTTTCTTTCCTTCCCTTCCTTAAAGAAGTCCCTTTAGGAACTCTTGCAGAGCTGGTTTGGTCGAGGTGTATTCTTTTAGACTTCTTTTGTCTGGGAAGCTTCTTATTTGGCCTTCTTTCCTGATTGAGAGCCTTGCTGGACATAGCAGCCTTGGTTGCAGACCTCTGGTTCTCATTACCTGGAGTATTTCTTGCCATTCTCTTCTGGCTTGAAGTGCTTCCATTGAGAAGTCGGCTGTTAGCCTTATTGGGGCTCCCTTGTATGTTACTTCCTGTTTCTCCCTTGCTGCCTTTAAGATTCTCTCTTTGTCTTGAAATTTTGCCGTTTTAATTATGATGTGTCTTGAGGTGGGTCTCTTTGGATTCCTCTTGATTGGGACTCTCTGTGTTTCCTGGATTTGTGTGACTTTTTCTCTCATTGAATTAGGGAAGTTCTCCTTCATTACTTGTTCAACTAGGTTTTCTATCCCTTGCTCTTCTTCTGCTTCTGGTATCCCTATTATACGGATATTATTATGTTTCATATTGTCTTGCATTTCTCTTAATCCCTCTTCATTCTTTCTGAGCCTCTTTTCCTTTTCCTGCTCTTTCTGGATGCTGTTTTCTACTTTGTCCTCCAGCTCGCTAATCCGATCTTCTGCTTCATCGATCCTGCTTTTCATTCCTTCTGCTGTGTTCTTCAGTTCAGAAATTGTATTCATTTCCTCTTGACCTTTGTTGAGAGTTTCTATTTCCTTTTTCATGTTTATATAGTTTGCAGTGAGGTTGATGTAGTTTCCCTCTAATTTCTGATAGCTCATTGTGAGTTCATTGAACTTCCTGGTAGTCATTGTTTTGAACTCACTATCAGATAGTTGAGTTGCCTCTATTTCATTTAGCATTTTTCCTGAGGCTTCCTTGTTTCCCTTCAATTGGGGGTTGTTTCTTTGTTTTCTCATTGTTCGTGGGTTTCTTCTTGTTAGCCTCTGTTTCTTAAATTGATCTGTTTTGGTTCCCTGAAATTATGGTGTGAACTTCTGTGGTAGAATATTTGTGAGATTCAGTGGTGCAATCTCCTTCGTGTATCCTGGTGTTCACAGCTTCCCCCTACTCTTTTTTTGTGATCAGTTGGAGGAGTTAAGCGAAATGGTTTAAGACAGCAATACAGTCTACTATGATATCTACTTTAGCAGCCAGTAGAGAAGAGATGGGTTACCCTTTGGCTCCTTATAGTGTTAACTGTGATCCTCCACCCCACTATCCATGTTTTAGAAAGGATGGAAAGAAGGTAAGACTCTTATTGGGGACGAGAGGATTGTTAGTTGGATCTAGAAAGCTGTGAGGCTGTGGGAGGTCAGATTCTAAGGTAGGGTTGGACTAAAGATTAGTATATAGGAGTAGTGAGTAAAAGAATAGAGACAACCTCCACAATAGTATAGTTCAGAAAATTGCAAAGTGGGCTGAGATCAGGTAGGGGTATTGAGTAGTATTTACAATTGTATGAACTAGGTCTTATTAACAGTAATAGTAAAGTGACAGTCTTGTGGCAGAATTGATGAGATCTAGATAACAAGAATAAAGAGTATAGAACCTTGAGAGGTGTATTAATGGAACACAGATGAAGAATAGTAAATTATCAACACATTGTGACTGAGATACCAGGGGGAACCTACCAAATGACAGTATAACCAGCCAAGCAAAGAAGATTATACAGAAGAAAAAGAATACCAAAATACTATTAAAATAAAAAATGTCAGAAAAGTGAGAAAAAGATAATACAAATTTACAGTAACTTGTAAGATTGAAAAAAAGAAAGGAAAGAAAAGAAAAGCAGAAGATGAAGTGCAGGAGAGATAAATTTGGAGTGGAAAGAATAATATTAGGATGAATGGAAGAGAAACATAAGGGATTGCGAGGTATAAAAAGAATAAGAATTGAAAAATAAAATGTCACATGAAACACAAGATAAAATCAATCAATCAACAACAATCACCAAAACAAAACAAAACAAAACAAAACAAAACAAAAAAAGAAAACCCTCTTGTTGGTTTCTAACTGGCCAGACCAGTGTTTCTGACCTTGCTGGCTTCAGCTGGCTGAGGGACCTCTGAAATGCTTCTCTCTCTTCCAGCCAGATCCCAGCAAGACTGTCAGGTACCCTGGGCGCTCCCGAACACACTCACTCTCTAGAGCTCACTGCCGCGTTCTCCCGGACTCCGGGGTCCTGCAGGGTTCCAGCTCTGTGATCTCAGAGACACCCAGAGATGTTTTGGCATTCACTGCGCCCTCCCTGGGAATCGTAAAAGTGTGCGCCCCTCCGCCAAACTTTTGAGATTCGGGCTCTAAGATCGCCCTAAGCGCCACGCCGAGACTCTTCCGAGTTCACAGCGCGCGAGTCAGGCCTCCTGATGGGGTGCGAGCGGAGTCCTTCCCATCTCTTTGTTTTCCACCGATCCGCATCCCACCTGGGCCAGGGGTGTTGGCGCCTTTCCCGACCAGGGGCGGTCGTGTTGGCTGGGGGCCCTCACTTCTCCCAGGTCTCTAGGTGGGTGTTCATAGTCCCTGGGCGATTTCTTCCCAGACCAACTGGCCAATCTGTGCCTTCAAGCAACACGTTCTCCCCTGGAGTTGCTCAACCCCCGTATTTGGTGGAGGGAGCAGCGACTCCCCTCTCCCGGGAGCCCTGGGGCAGACCCCGGAGCACCGGGCCTGGGGACTGCACACCCCCAGACCCCGCGCTGATCCCCGGGTCCCTTTTGTCCCGAAGCAGTCTCCCTACCGCCTGGTTTTCCAGTGATCGCAATAATCCCCGATGTCCTGCTTTCAAAAGTGATTCGGTAACCCAGCCCACTTGCTCTGCCTCTCCACCGATCTGCCAGTTTCCCTCCTCTTCACAGAAGCCGAGAAAAACGCTGCCTAGAGCAAAGCCGCCATCTTCCGTCTCCCCAGGATCATTCTTTATTAAGACATTTTACCAGGTACTCTTTTCCTGTGAATGTAACTGAGGGAAATTATTCAAAACGCATGCCGGCATTACAGGCTTCTAGGCGGCAGTACTGGGTCAATGCTGTGCCCTCTAGGGATGCAGCAACAGTCACCATTGGGTAACGGTGAAAATTAAACCTTTGAATTAAATAGAATAAAACACTATTGGACCTTTCAGCTCATTCCCGTTGGTGCTTTTCTTCAAGCGCCGGCAAACTTTGTCGTCGTGTTTTGTAGGACTCGACGTTGACACCTCTTTCTTCTTTGGAAACTGCGCTCATGCGCGTGATCCTGGCCAGAGTCGCCGAGGCCCGCGCCCGTCAGGCGGGCTCCGTGAGTCGCACTTCCGGGGGAGCAGGTTGTGTTTTCGGGGAGCCGGAGACCTTTATCCCAGCGGCCGCCTTAAGTGCTGGCTGATGAAACAGATAAACAAAGCACCCAAACACCGAGTTTGCTGACGGGCTAACGCGGGGGGCTGGAAGGCTCGGTTGCAACAATCATTAAAGAAGGGTACAACCCGTTTTAAGAATTCCAAAGTGTGTCTGTCTGTGAGTTTCCGTGCCTTTTGGTCTGTTGTTACTAACCTTCTTGTACAAATGTGGCTTTGAAAGTCTGTCTAGGTGAGAGTTTAGAGGAGGCGTTACCAGGGCAACGGGCCCCCCAGACCCTGGGCCCCTGGCTGGGTCCCTGACACGGGGTGGCAGCTCTGACCTGTGTGTACGGTATCATCCCACCCAGCACGTCACTCCTGGGGCAGAGAAGCCCGAGCAGGTACTGGGAGCACTCTGGCGGGCAGACAGCACCGCCCTCGAGGGGTGCTGGTCCCCAGGAGGAGCCCCCCTCCGCCGTCGGCCATCGCAGTCCAGCGCGGGGAGCCAGCGCTGCGCACCTGTCGGGCCGCAACCCCGCGAAGGTGGAACTGCTGCCCCCCAGCTTCAGCATGACGATGGCACTGGTGATGTGTTTTAGGGGGGCCCCCTCATCCTGGATACAGCAGGGGCCGAAAAGGGCGGTTCTCGCCTGGGGCCGCTGGTGTTGCCCCTCTGCCCCATCTTTGTGTGCCTCCAGCGGGGTCCCGGTTTCTGCCAGAAAAGTGTTGCAGAACCTGGGCTTGGGCTCGCGGTCTCAGCTCCCAGTGAAGTGTTCTCGAGCTGCTTCCTGCCTGCTGACCCCTCCTCTGTGCAGCCTAACGTCATTGGTCTCTAAACCTGTCTGCACATCTGGATCACGGGGAAGACTTTGGAAGCCGCGGGGCCGCCCTGGCTGCGGTGCTCAGGGGATGGAGCGCCCGCCTGTGAGCTGTGAGGTTGCCGGTCGATTCCCCATCGGGCACATGCCTGGTGCGGGCCAGGTGCCCAGTTGGGGGCGTGCGTTCCTCTCCCTTTCTTTCTCCCTCTCTCTAAACGTAAATACAACTCATGTTTATTTAAACACATCAGATCAGTTGGTTGCCTCTCGCACTCCCCCACCGGGGACCTGGCCCGCAACCCAAGCACGTGCCCCGACTAGGATTCGAGTCGGTGACCTTTCACTTCGCAGGCCGGGGCTCACTCCCCTGAGCCACACCAGCCAGGACACATAAAACCTTAAAAAAGAAAAGAAAACCACAGGGCTCCCCCGCCACCCAGGATTCTGATGTGGGTGCCTCGGGATGTGGGCTGGGCACCGTGCAGTTGCTTACCTATCAGTTTCCACCGCTCGTGTAGTCCCCCCTCCCCTCCCCCACCCCGCCCCAGGTTCATCGAGGTGTAAAGCCAGGGCTTGAAGGGCGAGTCTCCTCGCCTCTTGGGTTGGAGTGCCACTGGACACTCGAACATTTGCCTGTCTGGGTTCGCTGACCTTTGTGGCGACGGTTAATGTTCATCGGGCACCTGCAGGTGCTGCTCCGAGAGGCCCACATGGTTGGACTTACGGGCCCTCAGGGCTCCGTGCGGGCATTGCGCTGGCCGCCCTCGTTTCCTAGGGGAGGCAGCTCGGGGACGGGGAGACCGAGGGCTTTCCCAAGATCTCTCCGCCTGAGCACAAGGAGTGTGTGTGCGTGCAACGGTCACGCCCAGCGGAGAGGGAATGCACTTTTTCTTCTAGTAACTTCTGCATCAGAAAGAACAAAGAGGCGGGCCCTCCGCGTGGAGAGGTAGCACTCACTCCCAGGTAACAGAGAACGGAAGTGCCGATCCCGTGTTTTGCTCCGATCTTCGGTGCGGAGAGCGCTCTGCAAACCCCGAAGTGTAGGCTACACATCCTGAGGCGGAAGGTGGGACTCCAAGTAAACGAGACACCAGCGAGAGGTCTCGCGGGATTTTAAAGTTAGCGTGGCATTTCTGGGGTTTCAGTAAATAGTTGGAGAAATTAAAGCCGGGAGGGGAAGACTTCAAAAACCGTGTTCGACTCCGTCGTCGTCGTAAGGGTGATGGGGAATGTGGGTCCCAGAGCCGTCGGGTGACGTGCCTGGCGGTGCCCAGGGCTCTCGCGTGGCTGTAACGGGGCGCCCCCCACCCCAGGGGGCGGGGGAGGGGTCTGCACTGCGCAGGGGTGACCGCAGACCCGGCCCCCTGCTGAGCGCGCCCGGCCGCTGGGAGGGGACACGCTGGCCTGGGGGGGGGGGTTGGAGGGCGGGGCACGCCCACTGGCTTGGGGCGCGCATGGCATTCTGGGAGAGGACTTCGGAAGGCCATGCCCTCCGGGAGCATGGCGGGGGGTGGGGGCAGGCGGTTCCTTCCCCTTTGCGGGGCGTGTCAGTGGGGCCCGTGGGGCCGGCGCTGCGGCCGGGGGCAGCGGCTGCCGAGAGACGCCGAGCTGGGCAGCGAGGAGACCTGCTCGGCCACCCACGTTCACGACACCTGGGTGCGAGAAGGGCTTCCTGGCGCGACCTTGGGCTGTGCTGGCGGAGGTGACGGGGTGGCTTCTCTTCGGGCGTCTCGGAGGGACCGGCTCCGAGGCAGACGCTTGCCGCGGTCCCCAAAGCCCCGGGACGGCGGCCAGCGCTGCGGGCGGGCGTTCGTTCCCGTGTTGCCTGGTTCCAGGACTTGCGCGCTGTGATTCCCGAACAGCTGTTCCTGATCCATCCGCGGACGGACTTCTCCTCCCGCGACCGTCGTCACCCAGGTGTTTTAGGCAGGAACCTGCCGTTGAGTAAGGGGTTCCTTTCTTTTCCACCGGACTCTGTCTCCGGAGGTCTGCCGGGTCGGCGGTGAGCCGTAGCCTCGCCCAGTGGAGCGGCACACGAGCCGCGCGCTCTGTCTCCGTGCAGAATTTCACGGGCTCACGGACTTTCCTTCCCCGCCACTCGGGATCCTCTGAAAGTGTGTGCAGAGACTGACGAGCACAGAGCACTGCTCCGTGTCCAGTACCCGCTTCTGCCGTGACCGACAGGTGCCCTGTACCTCATGCTGACCCTTGTCCCGCACCCCGCACCCCGCACCCCGTACCCCGCCTCGGTCACTCAGCGGCAGTTATCAGACACTGCACTTCGTTTGCAGTTATTTCAGTACCTTTGAAAGGTAGGGGCTTAGAACAGATATGCAAACAGAATACCATTGTCACACCTAAAAATATGATAGTGGTTCCTTAATTCCAGCAAACGGCCGTGCTCAGATTTTTTGGGTTGTCTTAGAAATGTGGTTGTCTTAGAAATGTCAGGAATGGCTTTTTTTTAAAGTTTGTTTTATTCTCATTTAAGAGAGAAACAAGCATCTATGTGAGAGAAACATAGATCGGTTGCCTCCCCACGTGTCCCAACTGGGGATCAAACTGACAGCCCAGGCCTGTGCCCTGACTGGGAATTGGACCAGTGACCTTTCGGTGTACAGGGCAACCCTCAGCCCACTGAGCCGCCCTGGCCAGGGCGGGACCGTTTTCTTCTACGCTTTGCTTTCATCGGGGTGGGGAAAGGTCTGCATGTTATGATTGGTTCGTGTGCTTTTATTTCTCTTCGTCTCTAGGTTTCGACTCCATCCCCTTCTTTCTTTTAAAAAGCAGTTCGTTCGGGGCAGGGAAAGGGTGTGCCCTTCCAGAGCCCCCGTGGTGTGACCTAGCGTGTCCCTCGGACCCTGCGTCCCCTGCGAGTTGACGGCCGTGTCCGGGAGCCTTGTTCTCGTTCGCACCCTACTTTCTTTCCCTTCCCTGAGAAGACTGCTCCTTGGCGGTGTGGGGTCCCGGCGGGACCGGTTGCTTTTCCGACACTGAACCGGGCTTGCACCCCTGGTGTGGAGTCAGCCTGGTCCCGAGGTGCCCGCCCTTTGCGGGGTGTGCTGGCTTGTCTGGGCGTCTCCAGCCCTCCGGAGGGAGAGGCTTTCAGCTCCCCCCTCCGAGGAGTCGGGGACTGGGACCAGGGACGCCCTTGAACACTCCGTTTGGCTGGTTCCGTTCCTCTTGCCCTCGCCTGGTGCTGGGACTCGGGTGATCTCGGTGCTGTGCTCGGGCACTTGTGGGAAAGAGGGCTCGGAGACAGGTCCCCACCCTGAATCCTGGCTTCTGGAAGGGGCAGCCCCGGGGTGGGCGTGTGCTGGGGGCCTCCGGGGCCTTTGGTGGAGCGAGGGACGGGAGCCTGGCGGCCCCTGGCTGCACAGGAGGAGCCGGTGGGTTACAGGTAGAGGCAAATCCTGGAAGCTCAGCTCCCAGGCGCAGCCCCACAGGGGCCCTCGGACAGGTGAGAGCATGTACCGCTGCCCCACCCGTGGGGTTGGGAGGAGCGGCCGGAGCTGTCAGGTTGCAGCAGGTCTTGGGCGGCCTACCCTCCTTCCTGCCCCCCACCTCGGGGCAGCTCCTGCTGCAGGAACTAAATTACAGTAATTATTCACACTTCAAAGTGGCATTTCCTTTCACAAAGGACTTTCTTCCCCTCATCCCCCAAGTCCCTTCTCTCTTTGAAATAGCAGTTCTTGGGGAACAGAGGCCAGGGAGCTCTTTACGGGGAGCCCAGGGGAACAGCCCTCCCAGCTGTGAGGGAAGCTGAGGACGGTGACATGCTCGCTCGGGCCCTGGATGTGCTGGGGGCCGGGAGAGGCCGGCGGAGGCCAGAACTGCCGGGGCGGCCCCTGTAACTATTCCTGGTGGGGACCTGTGAGGGGCGGGGGCTGGGAGTGGTCTGGGACCGTGGAAACCAGGTAAACAGCACTGATGGGGGTGGGGGGATCTTCCCTTCCGCCCCTTGCTGCTGGCAGGGCTGACCTCTCCGGGCGGGTGCAGGGCAGGAGCCCCGTCCTGACGGGAGCCCACGCGGTGGGCCCGGCCAGCTCTGCCGCTGCCCGCTGGGGGCCTCTGGGGGCATCGCCCTGGGTTCCTGAGAAGGGCCTGGGGGAGAAAGGTCCAGAAAAGGTTGCAGAGGGCAATTTTGAAAAGCGCTTTTGTTTCACAAGCCAACAGGGAGATGTGATTGGACACCGTCCTCGGAAGGATGGTTGGTGACGTGCAGACGCACAGAGGGCAGACCCGCCCGCACCTCCTGATCAGGGCTCTCGCGCGGAGCGGACCGGGCTGGTCCCCGCCCGTCCGAGGAGCTCCGGGTCTGAGCGGGCGGTGGCCCCGCCTGGGCCCTGTCACTCAGGAAGGGCGCCTCCTTCCTGCCCTCGGGGCCATGTCAGCCCTTCGTCCGGACCTTTCCGCTCGGGCCGCACCTCTCGGGCCCAGCGTCACTTCTCAGTGACACCGCAGGAGGCCTGTGGAGCCACCAGACCGGGGTGCCGATGGCGTGGGACGACCTTGAGTCTGCGGAAAGGGCGGAGCGGAAACAAACTCACCAAGACTAGCAGCTGTGGAAGGGCACTCCTTCCCTTAAGGGTCTCACTTATTTTCAGACAGAGGGGAAGGGAGGGAGGAAGAGAGGGAGAGAAACATCAATGTGTGGTTGCCTCCCAGGCGTCTCCTACTGGCACCTGGCCGGCAACCCAGGCATGTGTCCTGACTGGGGATCGAACCGGTGACCCTTTGAGTTTGCAGACAGCACTCTTGATGGTGGGGACTTCTGGCCTACTCAGAACTCCTGAGCGCTCTGAGGCTAGTTCATCAGTCGTTGCCATATCTGTAAACTTCGCATCTTTGCCCACCAAGTCGTTGATCTAAATCAAGCTTCTTGAAGATGATGTGCATTTAATCGACTTTATCAAGGGGTGGTTTACATGCGGTGAAGTGACTACACCCGCTGTGAGGTGCATCCGATGCGTCTGGCTCGTGTGTAGATCTTCCCAGCCCCCACCCCAGTGGGGTCAGGACAGTGCCTCCAGGCCCCTCGCCCCTCTCCCCGGGCAGCCGCTGGTCTGGGCACTTGGCCCAGAACGTCACACAGGTGGGGCCACATGGTCTGCCCTCGTTGGTCCCTGGCTTTGTCCACACGCTGTGCGTGGGTCAGCGGCTCGCCCCTGCCTGGTGCTGCGCAGCTCCGTCGTGGCCCCCGGAGGGGGGGCTCAGGGAGCAGCCCCGACCCCCCCAGGTGCTCGGCAGGGCTTGCTCTTCAGAAGACGAAGTGGAGAGACTTCCGACGTGAGCTGTGTGTTCCCCTGTGAACTTCGGTCACGTCGATCCTTCAGAGGACAAGTGGAAAGGTGGTCCTCTGATTAACCGAGTAACCTTTTAACTTTAGTGTCAGCCGTGGCTGGTGTGGCTCAGTGGACTGAGTGTCGGCCTGCGACCCAAGGGGTCACTGGTTCGATTCCCAGTCAGGGCACGTGCCTGGGTTGCGGGCCAGGTCCCACGTTGGGGGGGCGTGTGAGAGGTGACCGACTGATGCTTCTCTCCTTTCTTTCTGTCTTCCTCCTCCTCTCTCTAAAAGTAGATAAATAAAATTTAAAAAATAAGTTTAAAGTCGGGCCAGTTGAAATCCAGTTCACACTCACTAAAACTCGCTCCTGACACACACACGCAACGCAGCTCAAGTCATGGGACGTTTTCACCCCCCGGAGACCCCTTCGACCTGCCCCGGCCCCTCCGTCCCGCGGAGTCGCTGGGGAAGGGTCACACGGACGCCTGCGCGGTGCAATGCACTGCCCTCCCCCCCCCGCCCTGCCCCCCCTCTCTCCGTGGCTGAGCGGTGTCCTCGCGCCCGCCCCTCACGCACCGGAGGGGGGACGCCCCCAGATTGGGGTGGTCGTGAAAAAAGCCACTTGAATCGCTCACGCACAAGCTTCCGTGGGAGCGCTCGCCTGGGGTAGCGGCCCGGGAGGGTGGCCGGGTTGCGTGTCGGGGTGCGCAGTGTGGCGGTGGGCGGCCAGCCTCGGGCCCAAAGCGGCCGCGCCGTTTGTGCGCCCTGGGCCGCCTCGTGTGGGAGCGCGGCCGCGGCCGCCCTGCACAGCGCCCGCTGGTGTGGGCTTGTTTTTGTCTTGTAGTCGCGGCAGCAGGAGTGTGGTGGTTTGTCCCTGGGGTTCTGATTTGTGTGTCCGTAGTGACTGATGATGCTGAGCATGTTTTTGTGTGCTCGTGTTTGTATGTTCTCAGAGACTTGCATTTGATAGTTTGCCTCTTTCTTTCTTTTTTTTTTTTTTGCTCCTGCAGAGACAGCTGCCCTCGTTGGGGACTATGGGCTGTTGGCGGGCCTCATCCAAAGCTCACACGCTGGACCTTGAGGTGGCCTGCTGCCCCCATGTAGTTGATGGTCCCCAGGTTGAGGCGGTTGGGGAACTCGAATGTGTGTCCATCTGGCAGCTTGATGGTCAGCTCTGCCTGGCCGGAGGCAATGCCATCTCTGTGACACTTCCAGGCTGGAAGGGGAAGGCAGACCCCCAAGGCTGCCCCCACCCCGCACCCTGCCTTCTTGCTGTGGCACAGGGTTTTGGCGGCATCCCGTGGATCTTGGAGCGGGGGCCGAAATGCAGGTGCAGAGCTTGCTGTCTGTGCCCAGGTTCGGCAGGAAGCCTTTGGCGTCGGGGCCGCCTCGCCCGGCTCAGGACACACTGCCCCGGTGTGAGGGTCACATCATGACTGCGGGCGGCAGCGGGGTCCTGGGGACGGCAGAGCCAGCCGTCCAGAGACTCCCTGCCTGTTTCTAGCTGGGTCGTCTGTTTTCTCTCCGAGTTTCCAGAGGACCGTGCGTGTCCTGGAAACAAGCGCCCCTGTGGGTCTGCGCGTGTCCCCCTCTCCCGACCCCCGCCTGTGGCTCGTCCTCCTGGCTTCGCCGTGTGCGTCTGGGAGCGGACACCTCCACTCCGGCGGCGCCCCGTCCGCCGGACTGGTTTTGGTGTTGAAGGAGTCGGCCTCACCCCAGGCGTGCCGTCTTCTGCGGCTCGCAGGTTTCACAGACCGCGGTCTTGCGCTTAGTCTGGGCTCCGCCGGGAGGAGACGTCTGCGTGCGGGGCAAAGGCTCCCGTCTGGTGTCAGAGCCGAGCCGCTCCCGCCCGCGTGTTGAATCCATCCGCTGTGGTGGGGATGTGCACGTCCTTCGGGACGGGGGCTCCCCAGGACCTCCCGTCAGCCCGGGCTGCGAGCTCCCAGCGCCGGGGGGTCGGTCTGGCTGCCGCTGACCCCGCGTTTGGTCGCAGGCCTCCGGGTTCCGCCCCCCGAGCAAGTCTCACCGTGACTGGATCGGACCGCCAGACAAGCTGTCCAACCTGCGGCCCGTCCACTTTTACATCCCCGAAGACGAATCGGCCGCGGAACAGAAGCTCAGAGAATTAAGACAAGAAACCCAGGAGTGGAACCAGCGGTTCTGGGCGAACCAGAACGTGACCTTTCGCAAGGTGAGGGTCCGTGTCCCCTGGGGACGAGCAGTAACACGGGCGGCCACCAGGGGGCGCCAAGTCCCCAGTGTTCGCTTTGCTCCCGGTCACCACGGTCACCGCAGGTTCTTGGAAAGCCCGTGGCCCCACCTCCGCGCACCCAGCTCTTGTTTACCGCGGGCCACCGGCAGAACGGGTTTGCTGCGCGCGCGTGCCTGGTTTCCAAGAACCTGCTGATACCCATGTCCGTGTCTCAGCCCGCCCTCCCCCGCACGCCTGTGCGTGGGTGGATGTGTGCGCGGACTTTGTGCCATTTTTGTCGAGGCTGAGGTTTCCTTTTTTAAAGCTTGTGTTTATTTATTTTTAGGCAGCGGGGGAGGGAGAAAGGGAAGGAGAGAAACATCCGTGTGTGGTTGCCTCTGGCGTGCCCCCTACCTGGGACCCAGCCTGCAACCCAGGCGAGTGCCCTGACTGGGAATCGAACCCGCGACTCTCCGGTTCGCAGGCCGGCGCTCAGTCCCCTGAGCCACACAGCCCGGGCTGCGTATACTTTTTAAGTCAGCCTGTAGCTGCACCTAGAACGCACTGATCAGCCGTGGGGCCGCAAACCCCGAGACTCTGGAGGAGGGCAGGGAGCAGCTGAGCCGGAACCGGACCCCTGGCCACTGGGGGTCCCGGAGAGGAGGAGGGCTTCCGGGGTGCGTCCTCGTGCCCCCCGGGCGCTCAGTCCCCCCCCCCCCGCAGCACACGCGTGAACGGACTGCACGGGGGACGAGGGCAGCTGCTCCGGTCCAGCGGGAGAACTAGGGGTTTCGGGGGTCACCCGCTCGGGCGGGCTGTGTGGAGCGGGGCGGGCGCCTCTGGCTCTGCGAGTCTGTGGACAGACAGTGCCCCCCCCCCCCGCCCCCACCTGAGCGTGCCGACAGCTCATCTTCAAGCCCTGCCTCAAGCAGGGAACTCGCGACCACGGTCAGAGGGTGGGCGAGGGCTTTGAGAGGCCATTTCCCCGGGAACCGCGCCCGCCCCCCCGCCCCCCCCACGGCGCTGAGTCCTGGCCGGGGAGACGGGGAGACAGAAGCGCACCCCGATGTCGTCTCTTTCAGGAAAAGGAAGAGTTCATTCACTCGCGACTGAAAGCTAAAGGCCTGGGACTGAGAGCGGAGTCAGGTCAGTCCGCTCCGTCTGTTTCCTGGGGGAGGGGCCTAGTGAGGCGGCGGGAAGGGGCGGAGCCCGGGGGCCGGCCAGGGTCCGCCCTCCGCCCGCTCCCTCTGGTGGTCCTGGCTCGTTTGTGACCTCCCCAGAAAAACTTCCCGATGAAAAATCCGGAACCATGGGCCAGGGCGCCGGCCCTTCCTCATCCTCGCCCAGGCCCCTCCAGAGCGAAGGGCAGGGGCACAGAGGGACCCCCGTGCTGGGCTCCGTGGCTGGCGCGGCCCCTGGGGGGGGCGGGGCGGCTCAGGTTCCAGTCCTGGCCCTGGGCTGAGCCCTTCGCCGGTGTACCCGTTTTCTTTCCCGAGCGGCCCACGCGGGGGCGCTGTTCCTTTCCCATTCGCGGGGGGCGGGGGGGGCGGGTCGTTTAACTAGAGCTGCGGTGCTGGAGCGCAGGGCCCTCGGCTCTGGCCTGCGGGGTCGGTCCGGAGGACCGCCCCAGCGGCTCTGGCTCTCAGCTCGCCTGCGCCGCCCTTCCGGCCGAGCTGAGGAGCAAGGCCTCCTGCCCCCGGGGCCACGGACCCGCACGGAGCAGGGCCAAGGTCAGAGAGTCCCAGCCCCCTAGGTCTGTCGGGGGGTCAGGTGGGCCTCTGCGGGGGCTGCTTTGGAGACAGACCACCCTTCGCGGGCGGGAGGGGGCGTTCTGAGTCCCGTTCACAGCGTCGTGGCCGTGGCGTTCCTACCGAGGGCGTTGCCTTCCGCAGCGTTGAAGGCCGGTGCTACCGAGAGGTAAAAGTTAGCTTGGTGATGGAGCAGGAGCGGCTGCGCTGCAGGAAGCGCTCGGGAGAGGGAGCCGGCATCGTCGGCCGTTGCACGGCAACCGGCTGCGGTGACCCGACAGGGAGGGAGGGAAGGAGCAGGCTGTCCCCCTCAGTGGGCAGGGCTGTCCCCCTCAGTGGGCAGGGGACACGGTGGGTCGGCTGCAGACTCGAGGGAGGGGTTTGCTTAGTAAATAAGGTGGTAGAAACCAGTTACTTGGGCCCAGAAGAACGCACTTGGGTTCCTGTCCGCTGTGATACAAATATGCCCCAAACGGGTCAGAGCTAATTATTAAAAGTCAGTTGTTTATGGATTAGACAGTTAGACACGTGGCTCCTGGCTGTGGAAAGTCTAACAGACTGACCCGACTGATCTCTGGAGGAGCCACGTGCCGGTGCGGACGCCCTTTGACCTGTCTGTGGCGCCGGACCCCTGCCCTCTTGTCCCAGTTCCTCTGGCCCCACCGCCCAGCCTGCTCCGCTGCCTCAGTGCAGAGCTCTCTGGTGTGAGGGGGCCGCCCGAGGCCCCAGGGGTCAGGCCACAACCTGGAAGCAGAGGCCTGGGGGGCCGGGGGTGGTGGGGGGGGCGCTGAGTGTGGCTGCCGCCAGGGAAACGGAGCTGGAGGCCCTGCAAGGACAGTGTCCGGTGGACCCGAGGGCCAAACTGTCGTGTCCGGGAGATGAGTTCTTTAAAAAAAAAAAAAGAAACAGAGTTGGTATTTGTGTTGGTCTTGTGTCCTGCAACCTTGTTTTTTGTTTTTTCATTTTTCAAGATTTTATTCATTTTTAGACAGAAGGAAAAGGAAGGAGAAGGAGAGGGGGAGAAACATCACTGTGTGGTTGCCTCTCACACGCCCCCTACTGGGGGACCTGGCCCGCAACCCAGGCCTGAACCCTGACTGGGAATCAAACCTGTGACCCTTTGTTTCGCAGCTCGCACTCAGTCCACTGAGCCGCACCAGCCAGGGCCTAAACTCACCTGTTAGATGGATAGTTGTGTGTGGGCTCCTTCCCCTTAAGGCTGAAGTTGACGTTTACTTTCAGGTCAGAAAGTGACATTGAGTGCTGAAGAAATGGCCGACTTCTACAAGGAGTTTCTAAGCAAGAATTTCCAGAAGCACATGTATTACAACAGGTATGCGTTTTCTCCTTCTCCTGGAGATGGCAGAACCGCGTCCGCGCTGGGGAGGGTCTTTTTACCCTGAGTCTGAGGACGTGCGTGCCGGAGGCGCAGGTCGCCGTGAACTCAGGTTTGCACCCTCAGAGCAGGTCGGCGCTGAGAGCCACTTGCCGGCCCCTGTTGCCTAGACTCCCCTCCGAGGAGAGCTGGCTCGGGGGAGGGGCAGCCCCAGAGGAGCCCAGATCTCTCGGGTCTGAGAGGGGGGAGGCCCCGGGGCCCCGTGGTCTCCCACGGGCTGATGGGAGGGGCTCCCTTGGGCCGGAGATGCCGCCGAAGAAACCGTCCTCAGTGGATGAAAACTGCACGAGACACAGAAACACGCCTGCGACCAGGGTGACACCAACAGGCGCGGGGGACCTCGGGGCGGTCAGCTGGCTCTTCTGGAGATGGGCAAGTGGAGGAGGGGACCCGGGGAGCACCTGCCCGTCCAGGGGTCCTGTGCCGGGCGAGGGGCACTTCCCCGGAAGAGGTGGCAGCTGGAGCAGGAGCTCAGGGCCTGGGCACCGGTCTGCCCTCATGGCTGACGGGGACCTCGGCACGGACGGGCAGGCCATGGGCCCTGCGCCCGGCTCATCTCCTGGCCGTGTCTCTGAGGTGCGGGCGGAGGGCTGGGCACCGCCGGTGGCGGGGCTGGTACAGAGATGGGGGGCCGGGCCCAGTCAGGCCTCCGGAAGACGGTGCAAGGACATGGGGTGGGGGGGGTGGGGGGTTCACAGAGACTGTGTCCAGGACGATGGCCTGGGGCTGCAGCCCCCAAGGGTGGGGATTCTGCAGGACAGAGGATCCAGTTCCAACAAGGAACTAGAGTTGGGGCGGGAGAGATTTCCCTGGGATGTCTCGGGCAGACGGCCTGTGCGGAGGGTTGTCAGCCCGAGGAGGGGGCGGAGCGGGGGCTGGGTCTAGGGGGCCGGTCGGTCACAGACCCCCTCAGGAGCCACGCCGGTGCTGTGGCCCATCTCTGGAGAAGGCGGGACATGTTCTGCCTGTGGGGTGGCCGGCCCCGGGGCACGGCTGCCCGTGGGGCTGGGCTCCCAGCAGCGGAGCCGCCTGCCACCGGGCGCTCCGGCCCAGCATTGGAAGGAGGCGCCGTGGAGTGGGCTCTCCAGAGACGACTCACACGGAAGCTGAAGAGTCGCTGGAGGGAGAGGCTGCGGCGCTGTAAGGTGCTGGCCCTCAGGGTGACCGAGCGTCTCACGATGGGTCGCTTCTGTCACATGCTGCTCGCGCAGATGGGGTGCCAGAGCAGCCCCGTTCCCCCCAGCCTGGTCCCCCCCAGCCCCACCTCAGTCACCGGGTCTCTCTGAGGGTGCCGCTCGCCCCGGGCTTCTGGGGCCTTTAGCAAAACCCAGCGGGGACGGCGGAGCCGGCAGGGTCTGCATGGCTCCGGGCACCCGGGGCGGGGCCCCCTCAGCCTGGCCATGTGCTGGTGCAGGGGGTGGGGGGTGGCTTCCTGTGGCGGAAGAGGGGGGCGCCCCGCTGCCGGCCGGGCGTCCAGGGGGTCACCGTGCTGTCCTGTTCCTCCGCAGGGACTGGTACAGGCGCAACTTCACCATCACCTTCTTCATGGGCAGGGTGGCGCTGGCGCGGCTCTGGAGCAAGCTGAGCCCGGGGCGGAAGACGGCCAGCAGATAGGGGCCCGCCCGCTGCCCGCACCCCAGGCCCCCCCGGGAGCTGAGGCGGGGCCTGAAAGCCTGTGAACGACCTGAGTCCCGCCCCTTCTCCCTGGGGCCCTGGGCTCCTGCCGCCGCAGGGCCACCGCAGGGGCGCCGCTGGGAGGAGGCGGGGCCTGGTGCACCGGGGCCACAGGGCCCATCCTGCCTGGACTGCCAGCCGGCCCTTGGCCACAGAAGGGACACGATACCAACTTGAAGTGGAGGAATATGGAAACGCCAATAAAACGTCACCTGGAAAGTCTGGCTCCTTGAACAGCAGTGGCTGGGAGGCTGCTGCGGGGCTGCCAGCCCTTGGTGCCCAGTGACGGGGCCCAGGCCCTGGCAGTGCGGCTGCCCCGCCACGCAGGCGCAGCCCCGGGGCAGAGCGCGGGGGCGGCCGCCCTCCAGGGCTCCGCTGCGTGTGCTGCGGGGAGGCACGCCGAGTGGGCCCCCCCCCTCGCCGAGTGGGCGGGCTGTGCAGTGACCGGCTGCTGGCCTGGCCGGGGCTGTGTCCGGGAGCCGTGCGGCCTGGGGCCACGGCCCGCGGGAGGGGACTCCGCCCCGGCAGCCGGGCCGCATCGGCCAGCGTGGGGTCGGTAGGTGCGTGTGGGGTTAACCGGGAGCCACCCGGCAAACAGCTTGTATCCCAAAATGGGGCAATAGAGTGGGAGGACTGTGTTTTTTCTGAAGCGCGGCCACCAAAGATGAGTCCCAGGGAGAAATGGCAGGAGCCGGAGGGAGCACGTCCCCCCCCACCCCCCCAGGGGGTTCCGTGAGGGCAGTGCCGGGATGGAGGCCGCTGGGGATGTTCCTGTGCCCCGGGACACCCCCGGCTGCTCCAGGTCACCGACTGCTGTCGAGGTCACCCGAAGGTCGTCCTCTCCCTGGGAAAGTGACACCGGGGTGAACAGCGGCTCCCGGTGGTGTCGACGCTCGTTCGTCTGCCCGTCGGTTCCCGAGAGGTTTTGACGGTGGCTTCCCCCCGTCACTTGGGAGGAAGTGTGTTTCCGGGAAAGTGAGCTCCGGGGTGGGTGGGGGAGGTGTAGGTGTGCGACGTGGTGCACGCCACCACCCGCCGGGCAGCGTGCGGCGTGTCTGGGACCCCTGGGACGGCGGCACACCCACGCGGTGTGTGAACGGGGCCTCTGCCAATGCGGGGGGGTGCAGGCAGCGACGCACCTGGAGGTGCAGGGACCCCGTGGCCCAGGCTGTCGGCCGGCACCCAGAGCGCTCGCTCCCTGGACCCTCGGGCCGGCGGGGTCAGCGTGGGACGCACGACCAGGGTGAGAGGCTCTGCGGGCCGTAGCCCCTCCCGGCGGCTTTCCGGCTCCTCTGCTCAGCGCCCAGGGCTCCTGGAGGAGCCTCTGCAGGCCGCCGGGGGCAGAGACTCGTTCAGAGCAGTTCTGGTCGAGGGGGGAGGGGGGGTGGGCAGGCGGCCCTGGGAAGCGAGAGCTCCTCAGAGACCGGGCACTGGGCCCTCGCCGTGGGAAAGCCGCCTCCTTCCTCCCGGCGTGGGCCCGGGGCAGGGCCCTGTCCAGGGGCAGGGCAGCATGGCCGAGGGTCCCATGCCGTGCCCGCCAGAGCCTCAGATCTGCGGCCCCAGACTCGCTGCCGTCAAAGGCCCAGGGGCACTTTGTTTGAAGAGTGACTTGAAAAGCAAAGACACAGCCCTGGCTGGTGGGGCTCAGTGGATGGAGCACCGGCCTGCAAACCAGAGGGTCCCGGGTTCGATTCCCAGCCAGGGCACAGGCCTGGGTTGTGGTCCGGGTCCCCACTAGGGGGCGCATGAGAGGCAGCCACACACTGATGTTTCTCTCCCTCTTTCTTCCTTCTTTCTTTTCTTTCTCCTCTTTCTAAAAATAAAGAAAATCTTTTTTAAAAACCAAACGTGTGTTTTGTGTTCGGAGGCAGGGCCCCACGGTGGGTATCCCGGCCGGAGGGGAGCCAGGAGTTGGGTGGCCGGGTGCCCTGGGTGACAGGGATGGGCCCCGAGTCACAGATGCACCCACACAGCCCAGAGGCCCGGGCGGCTCTCTGGCCATCTCCACCCTGTTGCTTAGGTCTGGGGGCTGCAGGGGGTTTGGGCAGCTCCGGATGGGGCGGGACGGGACGCGGTGCAGCTGGAACCCTGGTGGCCTGCGTGCTGCCCTCTGGTGAGGACGGCGGATCCCCAAACAAACGCCAGAGGATGGTAGCCAGGGTCACCTTGACCCTCGAATCTATGTGTCTGGCCAACCAGGGACCGGGTGTTCTACGGTGACCCCCGTCTTGGCCACGCCCACACGAAGCCTGTCCGTGGGCGTCCGAGTGGTCGCGGGCTAGAGGCGGTCTCCTGCCGTCCCGGGAAGCCGCCGTGGCGCGGTCGAGTGCGGCTGTGTTCCGAACGAGAAACTAAGGTGGACCCAGTCTCTCCTCTCCTCCGTGTGCAGGCTGCGGTTTGCGGCCATTGGTTTTTAGCTGCTCCTGTCCACTCGGAAGAGGAGGGTCTGGGTGTGGCCACCCGCAGGGCGGCGGGGACCCGGGGACCTGGGGCTGGCTCAGCACGGGGGCAGGTCGCCCCGAGTTTTGCTGCACCACGAACACCGCGTGGCACTGGGCCGGCCCTCTGCCCACGTCTCAGCGTGCGGGGTCGCGGGGACACACTCCTGGCCGAGCCCTGGCAGGGGCGCGTGGCGTGCCAGGCACAGGCTCCGCACGGACGCTGGACTGACCGCAGTGACTGACGGTCTCACCCCGGGCTGGGTCCTGGGCGTCGAGGCCTCCTCCGGGAAAGGCGGTGGGAGCCAGCCCGTCGGCAGTCGGAGCAGGGCCCCCGTGCGGCCCCTGCTCCCCCCACCGGCCGGCCGTGTGGGGGGAGTGAAAACCTGTGAGGGCCCGTCTGCACCGCGGGCCCCGGGCGCCTGCCCCCTGGGCACGGGCCGCCACGACGTGGACCCCTTACCGTGGCCCGTGTTCTCACCTCCGACAGCAGGAGCCCCTTGTTCTGGGCCTGTGGCAGCATCGTCCGGCACACGCCAGTTCACAGAAGCGGTTCCTTGCCGGCATCACAAAGGAAGGAGAGAGCCTCGTGAGGTGGACAGCCGGCCCTCGAAGCCCGGGCTGTTTTGAGGGGAGACCCTGATGACCGTGTGGGCCCCTCCCGGGCGCTGTCCCCCACAGCTGCCCGCTGGCCTCCCATGCCGCAGCCCTGGGCCGGTACCTGCAGCCAGCAACTCACTGTGGGCAGGGCCCGGGCCCTAGAGGGGCTGGCCAGGCTCTCCAGGGGCCGGCACCATCTCAGGGACTCCGCTGTCTGCTGGCTGTTGAGTGGCCCAGGGCCCCGGGCACGTCCCTCCCAGCCCACAGAAAGGGTGGTGCTTGCAGGAGCCCTGAGTGGCCGTGCCCCCCACCTCCCCGGGGAGCACACCTGTGCCTGAGTGTGGGTGTCGCAGGGGGGCCCCGGGTCACCCGCAGGGACCCATCCATTGCAAAGGGAGCAGGGGGCGTGGGTGCTGGGGGACAGCTCGCCCGCCGCCACACCTGGCTGGGAGGCACCCCCGCGAGGGGGCCTGACCCCTGGTGCAGGGCGACCTGCTTCCTCGCGGGGGCAAGCCCCACCTCAGAGACACTGCGAGGCCCAGAGGCCGCAGGGACGGGAGATGGGCTGTGAGAGAGAGAGAGAGAGGGAGGGAGGGAGAGGGCAGACGTGCATTAAGCCCGGCATTTCGGAACGCGCAGCTCGGTGGTGGCGTGAGGCACGTCAGCGCTGCCCTGCAGCCGTCCCCACCGTCCTCTCCGGGCTGTCCCCGTCTTCCCAGGCGGAGCTTCGGTCCCTGTCACACACAGATACTTGCTGCCCTCCCCCCACCCCCACCCCCGTCTGTCCACCTCTGTGTCTGAACCTGTCTGCTCCCCGGGCCTCAGGTAAGTGGGACCCCGGGGCGCCTGTGCCTTCGTGGCCGGCTCGCCTCCCGCAGCGGGACACGCCCGGTCCCTCCGCGCTGTGGCCCACCAGGCCCCGAGTCCCAGCCTCAGCGCTCGCCCCAGAGCCCCCTGAGCCTCGAAGGCCCCTGCCGATGGATGGATGACGGACGAGGCTGCGGCCCGCAGCCCGAGGAGGGGGCTGCTTGCTGCTTGGCCCTCGCTCCTGCGCTCACTGAGCAGGTGCTCGCGCTCCTGGGCGCCTGCTGCCGCCCGGCCCTGCTCTGGGCAGCGAACCGACAGACAGACGCCGGCCCTCCAGGGTCGTCCCCCCCCCCGCCCCAGGGCCTGTGCCCCCCTGATGGGGGTGGCCGTGCTGGCCAGGGCCCCAGCTCACAGAGGCCGCTGGCCTCACTGGGCTCCCGGGAGAGGGATCGATCGATGTTCCCGAAGCTTCGGGCCATGTCCAGCCGCGTCAGTGACTCCTCCCCGGGGACTTGCATTAGAGACTGTTCTCCTCGCCCCGAGTCGGCCCCGGGTGGAAAAGTACCGGCGGGGTTTCCGGGGAGGGAGGGGCGAGGTAGACGGGTGTCCAGAACGCTCCCCTGGGCCCCCTCCTGCCCCTGCTCCCCAGCGCCCGCCCGGAGACCAGCTGGCCGTCGGAACACCGACTGTGTGCTGACCACCTTCTTCCCCCCGTCCCTGTGGCTGCTGGACGGTCTCGGGGCCGTGGTGGCTCACGGTAGTCACCTCGGGTGGCACTGCTGCTGTGGGCACCGGCCCCAGGGGTCTGCAGAGTCGGGGCGGAGGCGGGCGTGGGCGAGTGCGGCCCCGCACAGAGAGCCCGGAACAGGGCCGGCCAGGCTCAGGGGGGCAGCGGCAGGTGGGGCCTCGACGGGCCCATGTCTGGGGGACCCTGCGGCATCCGCCTGGCCAAGCCCGGGTGGTCTCATGCCGCCTCCCTCCCAGTTCACAGGCCTCAGGGGCGGAGCCGAGGTGCGTCTCTGTGTGTGTGTGCGCGTCTGTGTGTGCGCGTCTGTGTGTGTGCGTCTGTGTGTGTGCGGCTTCAGTGCTTCCTTTGCCCCGGACGCAGGGCACCTGCCGTCTGCTCCCTGCGGCAGGTGGACCGGCTGGTTCTCGGGAGGGACCGGCCGCACCGGCTCACGAAAGGCGTGTCCACACCCTAACCCCTCGAACCGGGGGTGGTGACCGGGGGTGGTGACCTCGTTCGGGAACCGGGACTTGGCGGCGGCGATCACGTTCGGGATGCCGGGGGAGGTCGCCTGGGGTGAGGGTGGGCACAGACGCACTCAGAGGGGAGGAGGGGCTCGTCGGGGCGGGGCCCTCCCGCGTCTTCAG